ACCCCAAAATGGTCATGGCTGATGGCTCCCTGTCTTCCTGTTAAAAGTCTGCTTTTCCTTCCCACTGTTGCTAAGTGCACGCCCAAAAGGCATCTTCTGATTGTTGGGGTTTTGTTTATTTTATTGTAGGGTCCTTACCACGTGAATTAAATTCTATTTTATTTTTAGCTAAATTTTTGGAGTTTGTTAATATAAAACAATCTCAGTATACATGGGTAACATAATCGGAAATTACAGTGGCCTGTATGTTATAGTGGAATCTGTGCGTGAGAGAGAGCTAGTCTGGTTGGGATCTCGCATTGTGTTACTTGTCATTATGCTTTTGTATCCTTATCCTATCAGCAGCCTTTGTGTCTTTATGCAGCATTAAAAATAAAGCAACATTTCTTTTAGGTGACATGTTCAAACAACACTCCACTGACAAGGCAAACATGTTGACATTCAAGTAAGGAAAAAAAGTACACTGGCCAGTTATTCTCCTCCTTTGAGCAAACACTGATGGTCACCAGAGGGCTGTACTATGAAGCAGGATTTATAATTTAGCAAGTCATGTTGAGTCTGAATTTTAAATGTCACAAAGGTGGTGGTTTGAAATTGATACATTTTCACTTTTCTTGACAATATGCTCTGAGTGTGATTATGGATTTTCTGAGGAAGAAATGCAATTTGCATAAACAACCTGTGTCTTTTGCATCAGAAAATATGCACAGCCGGTAAGGTTTTCTTGAGGCAGCTAACACAAACAGACCCTGGCTATCGTGAGCTTGGTTTGTAGTACGCCCCTCAGTTAACATAGAAATGTTAACCAGTGTGTGAATGTGTGTGTGAATGGGTGGATGACTGGTTGTGTGAAGCGCTTTGGGGTTCTTAGGGACTAGTAAAGCGCTATACAAATACAGGCCATTTACCATTTTATTTATTTAGAAATAAACAGGATCCACACATGCATCAACACTACAATGAGCGGGTGGAGGGAGGTTTGGAGTCTTCTCTCACCCCCGTTCTCTGCGGCCTGCTGGAG